ACTTTGGCTTCTTGTCTCTTCAAATAGGTTTTGTATAGTTGAGAAGTGTGCTTTATATTATTGTACTGCAGCATGAGGAAATTTGCATCAAGCAAGCATTGACCACAGAGGATGGCATGATGTTGTAAAATACAGTGCTCAGCTAATCCCTTGCACTTTGTACCACCCTTCTAGCACCAAAACAATCTCATAACACTACATTTACGCCGCCATGCTTGACAGAAGGCTCATCTGTCTATAGTACTCTTTTCAAGTTAGCTACCATCCATTGGCTGTGTCCTTTTGATAATTTTACATTTTCTTTCTTTATGGCTTTTAGTATAAAAATCTATGTCTAAGGCCAGCATCCAGGAACATCTTTCCATTGTTGCAGATAACACTGTGATTTAGCAAGTAATATTTAAGGAAGCAGTCTGCTGAAGATCTCCAAGGTGTCCGTTTCTCAAAATGATTGTGATTTACCTTTCTGAGTTGTACATCTCTACTGCCCGCCTTCATTTTGCAAGGCCAAAATAGACTAACCTGCCTATTGAGCATTTTGGCCTTTCTTTATCCCAAAAGTGAACTTCTGGAGAGCCAGTACCAACATAATTAAGGTTTTTAGTTTTGCTAGCACAATTATACCACGTTATGTGCAATAACCAGTTATCATTTAAATATGGTTATTTAAGCAGGAGCCAAGCGAGTTTTACATTAAGACATTGGGGAAATGGTTGCTGAAAATGGGGTTTTGTAGTCATATGCAAACAATGAATTATGAATCAACCAATTTAAGCAGTAAGAGCTATTTGCAATATTAGTTATGTTGTGGTTATATTTTAAACCATGATAAAATGCTTTAAAAACACAAAGACTTTTCCTGGTGATCATTTTGAACGTTAGTGTAAATCCAAGCAGAACAATTAACAGCATATTAAAGGACAACTGTAAGAAAATTTACTTTCAATTATAGAAGTACAAGTATGACCTTACTTTCGAACACAAGATGAAAACAAAAATAATGGAAACTTCTGAGTACAGATGAGAGAAAATGAAAAATTTAATGAAAAAGACAATAAAATATCCTCTTCCCATACCTGTGTATCAAATTAGTCACCCTGGGAAGTCAAAATTGATCTGAAATATTGACAGAGGTAGATAACATATATTCACACAAGAACTGTTTACATGATATTCAAGTAAATATATATGATTATTGCACTTTTCTTAACAAAATAAATTTATGAAAATAATAAAGTAAAAATCAGAAAGTGCATAACTTAAGAGGTTTTATAAAATATTGATAGCAATACATGTATAATATCGCTGCATGCTGTAACAATAGCTCAGCTAGACTGCTTCTTTACTTATAGAATATAATGTAATCCTCCTGTTTCCATCCTCCCTATTGTGCTCTCTTTAATTCATAGGAAGAAGTGCTCGAAAACTAACCTTTCCAGCATAGACTGGTGCCAGTCACATGACCACAAATAGAACCGTCAGTCATATGATCTCTGCTGTAGGGACATAGGGAACTGCTGTTCAAGTAGAGGTGGCCAGTCAAAATCAGGATGGGGGTTGAGAAAGCTTGACTCCCTGTTTTCCTGTAATAATAATTATGGTCTGTCTCTCTTTTGCATTACAGGTAGGACTTTAACAATTCAAAAATAAAGTTTTAACTTACAAAACCTCTTTCTAATGCTGGCCATGGGCAAAATTTTAAATGTCACACTGTGAATGTTATCAATCACTGTTTAAACCACATAAAAATACATTACAACATCCCCAAGTATGATATATGTACCCTGGTAAAGTAAATAATGAAAAAGACAGAGCGAAATTAAGGAAGTGAGAACTCCCAGAGAACCCTATATTTATATGACCCAGGTGAGTAATGGGTAATGGGATGAATAATCTGCAAAAGGCCAGTGATATGCATCATCAATAATATAATAGAAATATTAGTACAATAATGAAAAAGGGCCAAAGGTATGAGAAAATACATAGTTACATAGAGATGTTACATGAGATACTAAATAATCATGTATATGTTAAACATTAATCTAACCTTCTGGGGGAATAAAATGCAATAACCAGTCGTTACAGCTTAATAACTGGAGAAGGGTTTAGCTATGCATACTATAGTTAACCATAGCTACTGTATGTGCATTCTGTCACACGTCTTAGGTTATATGGCTCCCTAGGCACAAGTTTAGCATGACACCCCTATTTCCCAGCGGAAGAAATAAAAGTTTCCTAATATTTGATAACCAATTCTGTTGAAAATGACATCAATAAAGAGTTTTTGCGTGGAACTAGGGTGTCATTCTGTAAGGCGCTCCCAAAGCTGATTTTGAACTAGTGTTCCTCTTCTCTTGCTCCTTCCCTCTCTTCATCTCTAAAGAATATAGGATTGAGGAATACTGTATGTAATGATATTTGGAATAAGGTTTAACTTGATTAAACACTGAATTTTAAAAATTAGATTTGAATTTATGAATTTTGGTCAAATTAATGGAGAATGAACTGATTGCATATGAAACAATTAGCATACAGTAGGTGGATTAGTTAACTGTGTTTGAGATCTGTGAATTACAGTCATGGGGTACATTCTCACACACTGCCTTAGGGCTTTCCTTAGAAGAAAAAAAAAGCTCAAGGCTCCTCCTTCATAGGCAAATAGCTGCAGGAGCAATATGTGTGATCAGACACTAGAAGAGTGTCTGTTCTGGCCTCAAGGAGAGGTGACCTGATCAGAGTGATGCCTGTAAGATTAGGTGTCTGTGCTAACAAGATGGTAGGTGTGAAAAAAGACCAATAATCCGAGGTTTTAAATGGATCCTATGTCATGCTGCTAACCCTGTGTGGGAAAATACTTATAAGGAACTGTTCATTTCAACTAAAGTGGACATAAAAGCCTGTAAACGAGTGTTTGATGAGTGAACTGAGCCCTTGGAATGGGAGTGCTACACCTGACCTGAACAATATATATATATATATATATATATATATATATATATATATATATATTGGCTTTTTCTTTTGTGAGAGTGGTTCTTTATTTTAAGGGGTCACTGCCATGAAACTGTGGTGCCACTGACTAAGTTTTATCCATACCTAACAGCAATTTGTTTAGAAAAAAATTGGATAGGATGGTGCAGGGCATGCTGGGGGATGATGTAAAGGGAGGGACTGTTACACTTATGTTTTTGAAATTTTAATACAAATGCTGTAATTAATATGGAGGGGAAGTAAGAGAATGTAAGCAAGCTCAATTTCAGAATAGTAGCTATGATGTGTTTACATATTTAAATAGTGCCACCCTATCACTTTAGAAGGGCTGTTAAGTGGTTGGGCTGGTCCTGGAACAACAGGTGAAACTTTAAAACTTCTGTAATTTTCAGGATTCTTGCATTTCAATGACTCCTTTGAAGCTGTAAAAAAAGGGCCTTTAAACTGTTGTAAGATTTTTTTTTTTATTTTCAAAGGTCTCGCACAATTGTTGTGGGCTTTCCATACCCATAACATGAAAAATGGGAGCCAGTTCTGAAAGTGCAGGTCAAATCAAACATTTTCCAGTTTTTCGATTTGTTCATCACCATTAGTAAGGTCTATGTAAAGTACAACATAGTGTAGCAAATACAGCATTAGGAAGTGTGTAACTTACAGTAAAGAGCACAACAGTCAGGAGTATGTAGCACAATGCCGCATATATTGATTATAAGTGAAAGGAAAAAATGTCTTGACATGTCCATGGAAGGACAAGAATGCCCCACTTCAATGTAAATGGAAATAAAGTCACAGACTTAATGTCAGTGTAAGGGGAAATGCACCTGGTTGGTATTGGAGAAATGCCCTGGTATGGATGTCAGTGGGAAGACTTCCTCATCATTGGTGTAAGAAATTACTGGTGTCAGTAGGTAAGCTGTCCAATCTTTTGTGTCAGTTGAAACAATGCCTCATTGTTGGTATCAGTGAGAACATGTTTCTATTGTAGATGTCAGTGGGAACACGCTCCTATTGTTTTTGTTAGTAGGAAGATTGCACCATTGTTGGTGTCAGTGGAAAGACTGCCCCATCATTGGTGTCAGTGGGAAGACGGCCCCACCATTGGTATCACTGGAAAAATGTCTAATCATTGGGGCTCAGTGGGAGCGTTGCTCCATTGTTGGTGCCAGTGGAAAAAACAGTTAATCACTGGGGGTCAGAGGGAGCACTACCTAATTTTTTAAGTCATTGAGAAGACTGCTCCTTCTTTGGTGTCAGTGGGAACACTATTCCAGCTTTGGTGTTTGTGGAAAGACTACTCCATGTTCCAAATTAGAGTCAGTGGGAGGCATTAGTGGTTCAGTGAGTATTTACCTGAGGATACAGTATTTTTCCACAGCATTACCTTTGTCTCTGCCAGATGACATTGGTGCAAACATTAAACAGGCACTCATTGACATAAGACATAAGACCATTTTGCCCACAGCACAGTTATAAGTAAGCACGTTACTCATGATGCTTTTAAGATATTCTCTGGGATTTGTAATCACAATGATTGGCACATGACCAAGGCTCTGTGATGATGGACAAGTAGTAGGCAGTTTGTGGGCAGTGATGGGAAAGTTGCTTTCTTTCTGTCACCATCCACACACCTGCACACTGCTGTCTCAATAGCAACAGGGGGCAAATAGATGGGGAAAACAAGGGGGATCACACAAAGATCCACTTTATGCAGCACTGATGTGATTATGTCAGCACTGTAGAGCTGGGATTATAATGGGCTAGATCAGGGCTTAAAATTTCAAGCCCTGAGCTACTAGCCAGGCCTTAGAGTTACTCGCCACCAACAAACACACACAAACAGAGACACCTGTACACACGCACACATACAGACACATGTATATACACACAGACATGTACATACACACAGAAACATGTACGCACATGCACAGAAACACATGTACACACACACACACATACAAACACATGTATACACACACAGGCACGTACAGACACGCATACACACAGATACATGTACATACACAGAAATACACATGAACAAACACATGTACATACATACACAGACACATGTACACACAGACACATGTACGTACATACACACAAACACACACACACTGTACATACACACAGACACATGTACACACACACAGACACATGTACACACACACATACATGCAGACACATGTACAGATACACACATGTACATACACACAGACACATGTACAATTTTACATGCATACACAGACACACACAAACACACACACATGTACACACACACACATCCATAAAAGGTTGCAGTACTTCATTGTTCACTCACAGATCCGGGTACTGCACTCTAGGGGGAGGCAGAGAGCACAGCACACACTCCTTCCTTTGCTTTCACTGCACTCAGCTATTGAGCAGTCTGATGGCTCCCAGTGCCAATGACAGATCCGGCCTGAGCTCCGAGCCTGCTCAGCAAGACGGCCTTGGGGGACACACCCACCATAATTTCCACTCACCATTGGCGAGCAGGCGAGTGGAATTTTTAAGCCCTGGGCTAGATCATAACCAGCTGCCCTACATAAGTGAGAGCAGTGAAATGGAAGTGCAGAGCAAGGGGCATTATTCTAACAACAATGATTACATGATTTCTAGACACTGGAGGACCTGCAAAGGAATGGGAAACGTGTTTAAGGTAAGCCATGAGATGGCTTTTGCAAACATACTTCCCGGAAGTCAGCTTTAAGACATGCCTTAGATTGTTTAATAAATTCAGTAGTTTCAGTTTTATGGATTACATTACATAGGTTAATTAACTGATAAGTTAGCATTTTAATTAATAAGGTTCTAATTACATAAGATAGGGTTAGATTCGTAGGTTAATTAGTTTGTTAATAGGTTCTGCTTATTTATCTTTATATTGACTAGTTAGGATATTATCTCCTTTGTATTTATTCCCATCCATTTTTAACTTTTATTTTTGTAACTTTTCAATGAATATTAATTAAAGTGTTATTCCTCTTGCTAACCCATAATAGAACCTCTGCCTGTAAGCTATTGTAAACTCTTTATTCATCCCTCTTTCATGTCAGAGCACTAGCAATCCCTAGACAGCAGCCGTGAAAACGCTATATAAAACTGAATTTAGAAAAGAAAATAATTCCAGGCAATTGGGAAAGGAACTATAATTTCATTGCATCCAGACTAAACATGGACCTATACTGTACAACAGAGCCTGCCACAGTCTCTATGAACACATACTGTTAGATGGGATAGCAAGAGGTATGACCCCATAAGTCGCTCAAGCAAGGGATATGGTTTGGTTGCAGGGTATCTCTGTGATCAGAAGAATGTGTATGTAAAAATCAGGGTACTTTCTATTAGTGGTGTGTTGTGTGCATAATAAAATTACTAATAAACCGAGACCTTCATGAAAAATCTGCAGCTAAAATCACTTTTTTACCAAAACAATTCAGTTTTAACATATGCTTTAATTAAATAGCACAAGATTTCAACTGTTTCAAGATGACTTTGAATATAAAGACAATATGTTATCCTAACATTAACTATTGAGAAATTACAATCCGTAAGTAATTTTCTACACCATTGATTCTACAAGTCCCATGGAACCCAAACATATGGTAAACCACATACCGTATGTGAGGAGTCTCCTAATCAGAAGAAATAACTTAAAAAATATTGGGGTACTATTCTTGCTGAGTGTTAATTCAGAAAAGCACTTAGGCTAGAACACTGTGAGTCTACAAAGTACAGTGCCAGAGTATTGCAGCAAGCTCAACCTTTTTTCGCTTTTATCTTGTGTAGGGCTGAATTAAGGCATTAAGTGGTATGTAATGTAGTATGTAATGTTTGAAATTACAATTTACAATAATCTACCTAAAGTAAACATCATAAAGAAAGGCAAGCAATATCAATACAAGAGATATAAAATATCATATAGAGTTAATATACATTTAGCTATGGAATGCACTGACAAAGATTTCTTGGAATACTGAAAGCTTCACATCCAATTAATGCATTGCTCAGCGTATGACCTTTATATTTTGTAATAATTGTGAAGGCAGGTGATGTTAGTTAACATAAAGCTTACACTGTGACTATCTAATTATTTTTGTATGTTCTTTTTGATGGTTTTTAAAGTTTTGAGAATTCAAATTAGAATATTCTTAGGGAATTTTTAAAACCTTTGATACTGGATATTGGAAGCTTATTAAATCTTCTGCAATAATTAAATGCTGCAGGTATGGATATGTTGCTTGTGAGGTTGTAAAGAGCAGCGCCTTTCATAGCTTCAGTGCTCTTAGATTTCAACAAGACAGTTCTGATTCTTGGATTCCAGAAAGATGTTTAATTTTGCAGTGTGATTCTGCTGGATAAGAGCAGAATTGTAAATGACTGCCATATGACAGGGCTTGGTAACTGGCCTTTCAATGAGAGCTGAATTAAGGGAAAACAGAGGTGAGGATCACATGAACTCCATAACTAGATGTACCTGATTTTTTCTTGGGGTTCTGGTGGTAGATCAAACCCCAAGAAGGCAAGGCAGCATTGGGTAGGGTAGTACAGACAACTCATCCTGTTTCCCAATTGTCAGAGTCAAAGTACTGTCATGGGGGTGGGGGAAGATTTTCAAGCCCTGTGAAGGTTTTGGCTTTCAGAACTTACACAGAAAAATTGGGGCGCTCTGGCAGATTTTGTAGCATGGGCAGAGTGGACCTGATAAAAATGGTGTGGACTCTGCAATTGTTATACATTTTTCATAACTCTCCCCAATGGATAATTCGTAGATGGTTCATGTGTATCAGAACTTATTTAGAGACCTTATATGGAAGAAAAAACAGCAAGGATTAGATTATCCATGCTTCAGTGTAGCAAGGATCAGGGGGGTTTAGCAAACCCTAACCCCAGAATGTATTTTTTGGCCCCCCAGCTCCAATATCTGGGGAGATGGGGACTTCAGGATTACTCTGACCCATTAGGTAGGCTACTGCTGCATGGGGTCTCGAACTATAAAGCTTTATCCCAATTTGAGGCTGGGTTCCTGTCCGTTCCTATTGAAGGCCCTGCCATAATTCTAGTGAAGAAGATCTTGTCAATGTTTAAAAGTAGTTTGGGCTTGATGGGCTTCCTGCCAGAAACACCATTATGGCATAACACCACATATGTGGAGATATATAAATTGGAGGAGTTTCAGACCTGGGAAGCTGCGGGAATACGTTATGTGTCTCAGTTTAATCAAAATGCTCTAAAATCTTTTATCAATTTACAAGAGGAGTTTGCATTGCCTAGGCAACAGTTTTATAGGTACCTCCAACTTTGATACACTTTGCGGGCTCAGGCCTACCATTCCACTTTATCATTATCTGACCATCCAATATTTTGCAAGATTATGCAGAAAAGAAACAAGAAAGACAGGATTTCTCTAGTATACTCTACTTTAATTTTGGCTACACAGAATGTCACTAAATTTCCATGCAGGAGCAGGTGGGAACAGGACCTAGGAGATTTTGAAGGTGAGCCATGGGAGTTGTGTCTGCAATCTATACCCTATATTTTAGTTTCGCCTTCATACAAATTATCTCAATTACATAGGACATATTGTACCCTGCTTCAATTGCATTAATGGGGTAGGAGAGAATCATCGTTGTGCCCTAAATTTTGTAGAGATGAAGGTGACCTAATCCATCTACTGTGGCGTTGCCCAAAATTACTTAGGTGTTAGAAAGATGTGACTAACGTGATTTCCTCTGTATATTATTATTATTATTATAATAATACAGGATTTATATAGCGCCAATAATTTGCACAGCGCTTAACAAAACAAGGCAGACATTACAGTTACAATACAATTTGGTACAAAAGGAATCAAAGGGCCCTGCTCGTTAGAGCTTACAATATGAGAGGGATGTATGATTAAGGTTCCATTGGAAAATGTAATTTGCCTGTTGGGCACAGTGGATGAGGAAATTTTTATTACATAGTTAGTCTGGCTGAAAAAAGACAAAAGACCATCCAGTTCAACCATTAAAACAAAAGTTATAATCCTATACCCACAGCTGATCCAGAGGAAGGCAAAACAAACCCAGCAAAGAATAATCCAATTTGCTCCTGCAGGGTAGAAATTTCCTCCCTGATCCTGCGAGAGGCAATTTAATATTCCCTGGATCAACTTTACCTATAAAGGTTAGTATCCAGTTATTTTCTGTGTATCTAGGAAAGAATCCAGGCTTTTTTTAAAGCAATCCACGGAGCTGGCCAGAACCAACTCTTGAGGGAGTCTATTCCACATTTTCATAGCTCTCGCTGTGAAGAAACCTTTCCGTGCTTGGAGATTACATTTATTTTCCTCCAGACATAAATTATTCCACTTATCAATAGTGCAGTACTTAGACTTTATTCATGGCTTGCAAACAAATTGCCCGCTTTTGGATGTCCCCTCAAGTTCCAACCAAGCAACATTGGGTTGACCAAGTCAATTCCCTCCTGATACAGGAAAAATGTACTTACCGGCACCGAAATGCTCACTGCTAGTTCTTTTCTATATGGCCTCCCCAACTGGTAGTGCACAGGCTCCTACAGGTGTGAAGGGCCACACAGTCCCAGGATTATTCTCTATAGTCGGCTTATTGATATGTTCAGGGTTTTAGTGCAGACGACTTCTGTGAATAATTAATTGCCAATCTATCATATGGTCATTGGTGTTTTCATTTTATTGGATAGTAGAATTACTTGCGACAAACGGTAAAATGGTTGCATTTTCATTGTTGTTTTTGCACTGTGTTTTCTCTTATGGTTTTCTGTAACTGTGTGTTACTATGCTATTCCCCGACTATGGGTATATTATTTAGTCATATTTAGTTTTGGTATTATACTCCTGTTATGTTGTATGATTATCCTACATAGAGCCTGAAGACTTTTCTACATCATTTTCTTTTTTACCAATCCCTGTATGTATGTATGTATGTATGTATGTTTGTATTTCTTTTATGGTACAATAAAGATTTTCTTGACTTACAAAAAAAATATTTTCAATGTCTAAATGCTACTATCCAATGGCACCTTGCTGGGTGCAAGCAGTGATTCCTGTGTTGAATGTTCCTCCTGAAATTTCTCAACTCAGCACCTCTGCAGTTCAGTAGGCAGGCTCTGTGAATTCTGTGACACAGTGGTGCCTACCAACAGGACATAATGAATATGAGTCACAGAATTCCAGGAAGTAAATGTGTGGAGGTCTGCACAAATTAAAATTCTAGACTGCAAGATCAAAGAAATGAATAGGAGTAGGCTGGAAATAATTGAAATATAAGGTGGAAATGAATATATGATTTTACACATTTTGACCATGGTCACGCTTTAGGCATGGAGAACCAAAGATAATTGCACTAATCTTTATGCAGCTTTGTTTATTACTAGACACAGTGAAAATGATTCTTCAGGTGGGACCAGAGGTGTAACAAGTGACACAAAACTTGCAATAGTGCTTCCCTTCAACATGACATTTCAGATTAAACCTTCTAAGTTGTAAAACTGCCAGCATTCATTACTGGACAAACATAGATTCTTTTGCCTGGAGAGGTGAAATTATGTGTTTAGCAGACATCCTTTGCACTGGCCACTACTAAGGAAAAAATGATGAAGAGCCCAACCAAGCCAACTGAGTTATGATTCAAAAAACATTATGCATAATTTTTCATAATGTATACAATCACATCAGTCCCTACCCTCATAGAACTTACAATCTAAGGTCCTTATTTCACATGCATACACATACTAGGGCCAAATAACATACCAGCATGTCTTTAGGATGTGAGAGAAAATCAGTGCAAGCATAGGAAGAACATACAAACTCAAAGCTTTCTGCATGTATGTGTTCTTACTTCTAACTCTAATTTTTGAGAGTATCAGGTACCTGGTGATGGAGGCCAATGGAGAGAGGGCTTCCCTTGTGGCTAAGTTCCAAACTCCCCTGAGAGTGGGACAGCGGGAGTCAGGCCCAAAGTGGTACAGGTCGCCTGTAGGAGTACTTGTTGATGGTCCACCCAGGAGCACAGCAGATGCACGGAGATGAGGTCTGCAGACAGATGGCGCCTGTGCGAGGTATGCAAGCCCTTCTGGGAATAGGATAGCCGAGGTCATACACAGAGTAGCAAAAGAGAGAGAGTATCCGTTAGCCAAGCCGAGGTCAGATCAGGGGTAAAGCAGAGTAGACAGGTCCAGGAGCAAGCTGAGTCGGTATGACGAAGTCGCAGGTTGCAATAACACAGGAAACAGGAAAGAGGAAACAGGAATCAGGAACAAGGTACGGGGAGCTAGAGATCATCCAGCAACTTGAGGGAGAGTGAAGAGCCTCCTTATAAAGCCTGTTTGGCGCCAAAACTGGGCCTGATGCATGTATTTCTGCTGCCATGTAGGGTACTGGTGAAAATGCCCAGTCTTCCAGGACTTCTGCCGTGGATAGGACCCTGACAGTGCCCCCCCCCCCCCCAAAGGGCAGCCTCCGGATGCCTACCTGGGCTTTCTTTTCAGGATACTTGGAACGGAATTCTTGGAAAAGCCTGGGGGCATGTACATTGCCTTTTGGTTCCGAGGAACTTTCTTCAGGTGGGTACCCCTCCCATCTGACCAAGTCATCCCCGCCTTCTGCAGTCCATAATTGCTTCAACCTCATATTCTGCCTCCTCTCTAACTGTTATCGGCGGAGGAAGGTGGTTCTACTCTCCCTGGAAATGGATCAGGAACAGCTGGCTTGAGTAAGGAGATGTGGAAAACTGGATAAATCTTGTATGATTCAGGAAGAAACAGCTCATATGCCACGGGATTCATTTCCCTCTTGATTCGGTCAGCGGAAAGGGCCAATGTACCTTGGTCCCAACTTTCATGATGGGCAAGGGAGTTTTAGGTTGGCAGTTGACAGCCAAACTTTGTCTCCGATCTTCAGAGAAGGGTTTTCTCTCCATTTCCTGTCATAGTGCTTCTTATAGTCAGCCTGGGATTTCTGTATAGACTCTTGAAGAACTCTATAGTTGCTTTGTATCATGTAGAGTCTGTCCTGTACTGTGGGTACTGAAGCTTCAGGTATGGTGTTCGGTATGCAGGAAGGGTGGAATCCATAATTGGCCCAAAATGGTGACTGTATTGTAGCTGAATGGATTGAGCTGTTGTAGGCAAACTCCGCCAATGGGAGTAGGGATACCCAATCAGCCTGGGAAAAAGCAGAGAAGCACTGTAAGTATTGCTCCAAAGTCTGGTTTGTTCGCTCCGTTTGCCCGTTACTCTGAGGATGGTAGGCGAACAATGGGCAAAGTTCCACCTTCAGGGCCTTGCAGAGGGCTCTCCAGAATCTGGGAAGTAAACTGCACCCCTCGGTCTGAGACAATATTACTGGGCAGCCCATGTAACTTAACGATCTCCTTGATGAAGGTAAGTGCAGTTTCTGGCGCAGATGGAGTACCCACCATTGGTAAAAAGTGGGCCACCTTGGATAGCCGATCCACTACTACTAGAATGGTAGTAAACCCCTCAGAGGGCGGCAAGTCTACAATGAAGTCTATTGTGACCATCTCCCAGGGACGATCAGGAATGGGCAGGGGCCTCAGTAACCCCCAAGCCTTGGTTTTGTCTCCCTTGTTACGCAGACACACTGTGCAAGATTTCACATAGGCTCTACAGTCTTGATTCAAGTTGGGCCACCAAAAGGATCGCTGGATCAGTTCCATTGTTTTATGGGCTCCAAAGTGTCCGGCCAGTTGATGATCATGGAAAGTCCTGAAAACTTGAGGTCTTACCTCTTGGGGTACAAAGATCTTATCCTGGTGCCAAATAAGACCATCCTGCCTTCTTAACGAGTCTTGTTCAGGTTCAGAACATAGTGCAAAGGCTTGTTTGATCAAAGACTTTAGGCTGGGTTGAATCAGCAAAACATTTTGAGCCGACAAGATGGTATTGGGGGGAGAAGACTCCACTGGGTCCAGGAAAATACGGGACAGAGCATCTGCCTTCCCGTTCTTGGATCCTGGACAGTAGGTTATATGGAAATTAAATCTGTTGAAATATAGAGCCCATCTAGCCTGCCGAGGTCTTAGGCTCTTGACGGATCTTAGATATTCCAGATTTTTATGATCTGTGAAAATCATAATTGGGTGGCTAGCTCCTTCCAAGAGGTATCTCCATTCTTTGAAGGCTATCTTGATCGCTAAAAGTTTCCTACCACCCACATCATAGTTCCTTTCGGCTTGACTCAGTTTTCTAGAGCAAAAGGCTATTGGGTGAAGCAGAGCCTTTGGGTCCTGGCGCAGAGAGAGCACGGCTCCTGTCGCAACTTCAGATGCATCCACCTCCAGGATGAAGGGAAGTGTTGGTTCTGGATGTTTTAACACAGGAGCAGAAGTGAACTGACTTTTCAATCACTCGAATACTATTTGTGCTTCCTGACTCCAGCAGAAACGTGTATGCTGGTGAGTGAGTTGAGTAATGGGGCAATGATGGTTGAAAAGCCCTTAATAAATTTCCGATAGAAATTGCCGAAGCCTGCGAATCTTTAGACCCCTTTCCTGTCTGAAGATGCAGGCCATTCCAGAATAGCAGATACTTTCTGAGGGTCCATGGAGATTCCTTCAGTGGAAATTACAAGCCCCAGGAACTGGATGGACTGCTTTTCAAACTCGCACTTCTTCGCCTTTGCGTACAAGCCATGCATCCTTAGAGTGGTTAGCACTTTTCTTAAACATGATCTTGATGGAGTTCATGTGAGGCAGAGAAAATTAAGATATCATCCAAGTAGACAATTACAAAAAGATCAAGGTATTCTCTAAAGATGTTGTTTACAAAGTGTTGAGCAGGGGCATTACATAGCCCAAACGGCATCACCAGGTACCCGAAATGTCCAAAGCGTGTTCTGAAGGCGGTTTTCCACTCATCACCTTCTCTTATGCGGACTAAATTGTAGGCCCCCCTGTAAGTCCAATTTAATGAACACTCGGGCTGTTCGGAAACCTCTGAAACAACTCGGGCACAAGAGGAAGAGGATACCAATTCTTAATGGTAAGTTTGTTAAGTTCTCTGTAGTCGATGCAAGGTCTGAGAGACTGATCTTTCTTTTCAACAAAGAAAATACCTGCCTTGGCAGGTGAGGAAGAGGAGTGGATGAATCACTTGGCGAGGTTCTCGTCTAAGTAATGCCGGAGGGCTTCCAGTTCAAGCTTGGACAACGGGAAAATTCACCCAAATGGTATTTCTGCCCCTGGAAGTAACTCAATTGGGCAATCGTAAGACCGATGAGAAGGCAATGTGTCGGCCTTCTTTGTATCAAACACATCAAGGAAGTCATGGTAGGTAGAGGGAACTGCTGACTGGTCTCTGGTGAGGGTTGGACTGAGAGACATACAGAAGAATTGGTGGGTGTAGTGGCACCAGAGTGTTGCAGACAATATTCTGATGAAAATATGATTTCTTTCTTGGGCCAATTGATCTGTGGGTTGTGGGCTTGCAACCAGGGTATTCCTAGGATGGCAGGAAACATGGGGGATCTGATGATGTCAAAACGAATGAACTCCTGATGGCCGGAGTCAGTTGTTCCTAGGACAGGAATGGTTTCCTGGGTGACAGGTCCTGAGCTCGGAGTAGTGCCATCCGCTAGTAATACATCAAGTCTCTGTTTCTTTGGCAGAAGAGGGATATGTAAGTCCTTGGCAAGTTTGATGTCCAAGAAACAGCTACAGGCTCTTGAGTCAACGACTGCCAGTAACTTGACGTCCCTTCCAGCCACCTGCAATGATATGGGGAGAATAACATGATTGGTTAAAGTTCCGGATAACTGAAGGTACGAAGGATGGGGCTGGCTGGACTTACTTGGTCGCACTGGGCTGTTACGCAAGAAATGGCCTGTGGCCCCACAGTAAAGACATGGATTGCCTTGCTGTCTGCGTAGCCTTTCTTCCGGGGTTAGAGCAGGTCAGAGAAGGCCAATTTGCATTGGTTCTACCTCAGAATTGCTGATGGGTTGCAGAGTAGGGGCAGGAGCTGTTGGTCCTGGAATCTTTGGCAGAACCCATGTGGTTTGAAAGGACTGAGTACACTCAGCACGTCTTTCCCGTAGTCGCCGTTCCAACTGGGTAGAGAGCAGAGTAAGGTTCTCCAAAGAGGAGGGAGCTTCTACCCTAGCTAACTCATCCTTGAGTGATTTGGACAGTCCTAGACAGAACTGGTACTTTAATGCTGCGTCGTTCCAACCAGTATCCGCTGACCATTTGCGGAACTCCACTATGTAGTCCTCCACAGGCCGCCAACCTTCTTGCAGAGCATGGAGGGTGGACTCAGCAGTGGAGGTCCTCTGGGGATCATCATAAAGGGCAGTCATGGCTTCAAAAAATTCACTCACTGAGTTGAGTGCTGGCTTCTTTTGTTCCAGTAGACTATGTGCCCAAGACTGAGGTTCTTCAGATAAGAGGGAGATGATGAACCCGACCTTGACCACTTCCAGTGAAAAGGTTCTGGGTTGTAGAGCAAAATACAGTTCACAAGCATTTTTAAAAGCTCTGAATTCACGTGGATTCCCAAGGAAACATTCAGGAGTAGGGCCCTGGGTTCTGGAGGTGGTAACACCACAGCAGGAGTGGTAGCAGGAGACGGACTGGCAGGTGCGGCTACAGGGTTAGAACTGACGGAAGGATTCTGGTCTGCAGAAGTAGTGAGGGAGTGAAGATGCCCTTCCAGCTGGAAGTATCCTTGCTGTAGATCTTTAACTGCTTGAGTATGCACCGTTATCTGTTGGCACAGGGCCTCTAGTGCGGAACGCCTCTCTCGGCATCGGACAGAGTGTCTGGATGATACTATCTGGTACCTGGTGATGGAGACCAATGGAGAGAGGGCTTCCCTTGCGGCTAAGTTCCAGACTCCACTGAGAGTGGGACAGCGAGAGTCAGGCCCAAAGTGGCACAGGTCACCTGTAGGAGTGCTTGTTGGGGGTTCACCCAGGAGCACAGCAGATGCACGGAGATGAGGTCTGCAGACAGATGGCACCTGTGCCAGGTATGGAAGCCCTTTCGGGAATAGAGGATTGCTGGATAGCCGCTTCAAGCCAAGGTCAGGTACACCAGAGCAGACGTAGTCAGATGGGATAGCCGAGGTCATACACAGAGTAGCGAGAGAGAGAGAGAGTATCCGTTAGCCAAGCCGAGGTCAGATCTGGGGTAAAGCAGAGTAGACAGGTCCAGGAGCAAGCCAAGTTGGTATCAGGAAGTCACAGATTGCAATAACACAGGAAACAGGAAACAGGAACTAGGTACGGGGAGCTAGAGATCATCTAGCAACTTGAGGGAGTGAAGAGCCTCCTTATAAAGGCCGTTTGGTGCCAAAGCTGGGCCTGATGCGTGTATTTCTGTGGCCAAGTAGGGTATTGGCGGAAATGCCCAGTCTTCCAGTACTTCTGCCATGGATAGGACCCTTACAGTGAGTCTCCATGTTGGAGAATATATAGCAATGAATACATTTAGGGCAGGTTTGTCTAGAGGGAGACCATTTCTCCTTAAAAGCGCTGGGAAACACCAGAAGCCCAGTAGAGCACACTGGCAAATGAAGGCATCTAATGTATGCTTGTGCCATATCCAGTAAGCTAAACAAACATGACATCTGCCCTAGTTTATAACTAGCTTTTAGAGCATGGTGTACATAGAAGGGTTGTGCACATAGCAAACAATACAAAATGCATTACCCAGCACACTTGAATGATCATGCTGTCTAGCGAATTCTTCTTCCCACTGACAGCAATGTGAGGGGTATTCTTCCTCTCACAGAATACCAATGCTGAAGTGTTCTACTTCCTATTAAACACCATTGTAAGGCATACTTCCTCCTACTAAACATCACTGTCGGGGCATTCGTCCTCCCAATGACACCAATGTAACATGGATTTTTTTTCTTTTGCTGACACAAATGTAAGGTGCATTCTTTCTCCCACATGTCACTAATTCCGGGGTATTCTTCCTTCCACCTGCACCAAAGTAAAGGGCAGTATTCCTCCCATTGACACAATAAACAGGACTGTCCTTCTCCCACTGACGCCGATGTAAAGGATAGTCTTTCCCACACTAAACAACTATTCCATTGACCACCAATTTAAAGGACCTTGATTTTCCCACTAAACATCAATGCTAAAGCATTGTTCCTTCCATTGAACACCACCGTATTCTTTTTTTTCCGCTGACCACAAATACAAAGGGATTAATATTAACTGAACACTAATGTAAGGGACAATCTTCCTTCAAGAGACAACAGTGCTGAGGCTGGGGTATTCTGACTCCCACTGACAACAATTAAAAGTGTACCTCAAGAAAAAATTACTTTTTTATAGAGTAGGAAAGGGTTAAATCCCATCAGGTTTTTATTCATATCACTGTCTCCTCTGAATTTGGCCTGGTGACCATTACCATTTGAACAAAAGTAATGAAAATCTAAACTTTTAATAAGAACAGGAATAGAGGGAAATGTTTAAATGGGAACATCTGTTCCAGTTAAAAAGTGTTTAAGAGAGATTTCCCCTCACTTTGGAGAGATTTTCTCTTGTTTTCTGTTGTGTCTCGTAAAGGCAAATATCATCAATGAGACAAGAAACTAACAGTGGCTCTAACAATTACAAAGTTTTGAAATACACTTTAAGGCTCCATGCACACTGGCTGCTTTAATAGCACTGGTAACGGTAGCTGTGTAAAGTCACGCTAAAAAATGTGAGGTTTTGAAGCGTTTTTTTTAGCGTTTTTGCATTAATGTTTAGCTGTGTTTTTCCGTGTTTGCTTTTTTTAGCGGTTTTTCTAAAACAAAAGTCCAAAAATGCTGGTTTGCCATATTGTACTGCATTTTGATGCATTTTGCAGCGTTAGAGCATTATTACAGCTAAAAAATCCTCTAGAAACCCACTAGTTCTGGGGGGTTTTTCCAGCCAAAAAATGCCCCTGCCAAAAAACGCTGATTACAGTCTACAGTGAAGGAAATAAGTATTTGATCCCCTGCTGATTTTGAATGTTTGCCCACTCACAAAGAAATGATCAGTCTAAAAATCGAATGGTAGGTGTATTGTAACACTGAGAGGCAGAATAGCAACAAAAACAAAATCAAAAGAAATGCTTGTCTAACAAATTATGCACTGATTTTCATGTTCATGAGGGAAATAAGTATTTGATCCCCTTCACAAAACATGACTTAGTACTTGGTGGCAAATTCCTTGTTGGCAATCACAGAGGTCAGACGTTTCCTGTAGTTGGCCACCAGGTTTGCACACATCTCAGGAGGGATTTTGGCCCACTCCTCTTGGCAGATCCTCTCCAAGTCATTAAAGTTTGGTGGCTGACGTTTTGCAACTCAAACTTTCAGCTCCCTCCATAGATTTTCACTCTGATTAAGGTCTGGAGACTGGCTAGGCCACTCCAGGACCTTAATGTGCTTCTTCTTGAGCCACTGCTTTGTTGCCTTGGCCATGTGTTTTGGGTCATTCTGGAACACCCATCCACAATCCATTTTCAATGTCCTGACTGAGGGAAGAAAGTTCTCACCCAAGATTTGACGGTGCATTGCCACGTCCATCATCCCTTTGATACGGTGCAGTTGTCCTGTCCCTTTAGCAGAAAAACACCTCCAAAGCAGAATGTTTCCACCACCATGTTTGACAGTTGGGATAGTGCTCTTGGGGTCATAGGCAGCATTCCTCCTCCACCAAACATGGCGAGTTGAGTTGATGCCAAAGAGCTTGATTTTGGCCTCATCTGACCACAAAACTTTCAACCAGTCCTCCTCTAAATCATTCAGATGTTCAGTGGCAAACTTCAGACGGGCCTGGACATGTGCTTGCTTGAGCAGAGGGACCTTGCGGGCACTGCAGGATTTTCAATCCTTGTCGGCATAGTGTGTTACTAATTGTTTTCTTGGTGACTGTGGCCCCAGCTGCCTAGAAATCATTGACAAGATCCTCACATGTAGTTCTGGGATGATTCCTCACTGTTCTCGTGATCATTGACACTCCATGAGGTGAGATCTTGCATGGTGCACCAGACCTAGGGAGAATGACAGTTGTTTTGTGTTTCTTCTATTTGCGAATGATTGCATCAGCTGTTGTCACCTTCTCACCAAGCTGCTTGGCGATAGTTTGGTCGCCCAGTCCAGCCTTGTGTAGGTCTACAATCTTGTCTCTGACATCCTTGGACAGCTCTTTGGTCTTTGCCACTGTGGAGAATTTGGAATCTGATTGTTTGATTGCTCCTGTGGACAGGTGTCTTTTATACAGGTAACAAAATGAGATTAGCAGCACTCCCTTTAAGAGACTTCTTCTAATCTCAGCTTGTTACCTGTATGAAAGACACCTGGTAGCCAGAAATCCTGCTGAATCATAGGGGATCAAATACTTATTTCCCTCATGAACATGCAAATCAATGCATAATTTGTTAGACATGCATTTCTTTTGAATTTTTTGTTGTATCTATTCTGTCTCTCAGTGTTACAATACACCTACCATTCAATTTTTAAACTGATAATTTCTTTGTGAGTGGGCAAACCTTCAAAATCAGCAAGGGATCATATACTTATTTCCTTCACTGTATGTGTACATGGACACATGGAATAACATGCAGGGGAGTTTACTGGCTGTAGAAAAAAATGCCAAAAGCCAAAAACAGCAGCTGTAAAAACATCCAGTGTGCATGAGGACTAATGTGCCTTTTTCTTTAGGTGTGTTATGCCAAGAAACACAACCTGATTGAAAAAAAACAAAAAAACAAAACTGGTGCATGAAAGACACTGTGCACACTGGACATTGTTTTGTCATTTTTTATACCACAGGTGCTCACAATTGTTCATAAAAGTGGAGATCAGGGTAATGCACTTTCAGACAAAAAATGATTAAAACTGGTTGAATCAGAGGTAATTAAATGAAAAATGAACACATTTTGGAGGCAAAAATTTCCAGTTCCAAAAAAAGTTGGGTTGAAAATTCAGTTGAGGAAAAGGGTTGGTTTAGTATTTTGTTGAACTTAAAGTGATTCTTTAAGTTCAACAATGTGCAATGGTTTTGCACAGAGCAGAACTAATCCTCCTCTTCTTTCCCCAACTGCACTCCTGGCAGCTCCCCCTTTCCATTTGCTATGGAGGCACTAGTGCAAGCTTGCTCCTGAGCCATGCTCTGTGTGTCTATTGACCCACAGAGTTCAGCTCGGCCCTGTCCCCTCCTCACTGGCTATGATCAACAGTAGCAGGAGTCACTCTGCTGTCTCTGTTTATTTTATGTCCATGTACTATCAGTTTGCCATTCTTCACAATGTGTATTGCAGATTGTATTACTGGATTAGTACTGATTAATGCACTTCATACACTAAATACATGAATCTGCAGAGCCAGAACATATAAGTAAAATATTGTGCTCATAATTTATATTTTTATTATTGAGGTATGGCACTCTCCCAGCAATTAGCTTCCACAGTTTTACAGATATAGCAGCATAGGTAAGAATGCCACTGACAGGTCAACATCTTGTAAAATTTTGAACATAGCTAAAACTTGAATACAAAATGACTCTGTGCAAAAACTGATCATATCTATTTGCATATCTATTTGCAGAAGTAAATACTGTTTGGTCTGTAATACATTTAAAAAAAAAACTACTGTCTCAGTGTAAATAAAGGCATAATAAATGGTGTCATTACATGTATTTAACATGTATTTGTTCATATTTGCTTTCTTTTCAAGTTGGTAAGTTGTTTTGAGATGCGCTTCTACCAGGGGCGGACTGACCATTTGGAAACTTGGGCACTGCCTGAGGACCCGGGTCAGTAGGAGGCCCCATGAGATGCCCCTGGTACCTTTTTCATAGGCTTTTTTGAGTTTTGGGCAAGGACACAGGGGCCCCATGATCCCCTATTGCCCAGGGGCCCCATGAGTTGTCAGTCTGCCCCTGGCTTTTACCTATTGTCTTATGAATTGGACTACAGCAGAAATGGCAGGCAGCTGAAGTGTAAAAGTATTGCTCTATGCTCTGTATCAGTATTTAAGCTTAGGATGCTGCTGGAACATGTGAGCTTTGGGAGAAGTACTGAACTTGACAGCTTCTTAATAACCTGTAATTATTATTTTTTATCTACAAACTGCCTTAA